GGCTTTTACAGATTTTTCTTGAAAGAGCTGCTTATTTACAGATGTGTTGTGCTTGCCATTTTAGATAAAACGCAAAAAAACCCAAAAATTGTTTAATGCTGAACTTCATCATATTTATGTTTTGCAATACTTTTTTAAAACGGATAAATAAATTGAATTAAACATCTTCAAAGGAGTGATCCCATCTTTAGGTATCTTTTATTATTTTCTGGCTCACAAACAGCTTTCAGGTCTCATTCGTCCATCTCATTCCATCTAGAACTGGGATAGCACAGTGTGTAACCTTCAATATGTTGAGGTTTATGTTTGATAGATAAACCAGTATGAACAATTTCAGGATGGAATATGATAATGTGGCTGTGTAGGATGTTATAACGTGTTGTAAAAAATATTGATACCTGTTATTTTCTATGTTTTTCACATTATGACCACAAACTTTAATTCTACTGGTATATTATAGAACAGACCAACACAAAGTAGTGGGTACTTGTCAAAAGATTGGATAATTGTCCTGGGATTTTTAAAAAATTATTATTATCATTATTATTATTATTATTATTTTTTTTTTTTTCAAATAAAACTACAAAATTGCACAGAGTTCTGTCAATTTTACTTGTATACAATTGGATAAAATCCATTTCAGATGTCTGCTGGTATGAAAGTTTAACACAGTATGAATGCAGCTATTCTTAGAAGGTCTCAGAGGTATTTTATATAACTTTGGTTAAAAAAAAAAAAAAAAAAAAAAAAGAAAGACTACCATCACAAAGACAAAGTAAAATACCAGACAGGTCAGGGTTATTGCTATAAAGAAGTTTAAAGCAGGGTTAGGTGATAAAATGCATTGCAAGTTTTGAACACCGCCTGGAGCACTTCAATCCATCATTCGAAATTGGTATGAGTATAACACAACTGCAAACACTCTAAGACATCACTTTCACTTGTTCTGCCCCCAAACTCTGGAACTTTCTATGAAACATCCGGAAAATTGACTCTGTTCTTTTCAAATCAAGACTCAAAACTCATCTGTTTAGGACTATATGCTCTGTATTTATAGTAGTTTTCACTGTATTTTGCTTCCATCTGTTGTAGTATATTGCATTTGTTTTCTTCTTCTTCTTCTTCTTCTTCTTCTTCTTCTTCTTCTTCTTCTTCTTCTTCTTCTTCTTCGTCTTCTTCTTCTTCTTCTTCTTCTTCTTCTTCTTCTTCTTATTATTATTATTATTATTACTATTATTATTATTATAAAACCTAACTTCTGGGGTTACTTTAAAAAAGCTGTATGTAATAGATAACTAACATTTTCACCGGTTAGAAAAATCAATTGCCCGTCTTCAAAAGGAACACGAAAACTAGTGAAAAATAACGGGAAGCATATTTGAGGCTACCGGAGCCTCAAGGAATGATTAGGACAAAGTCATGTCCAGCTGATGTTGAGACATTAATCCAATTGATAATTGGTGGCAAGAACTGAATATAAATTTTTCACATTTTCTGTGCGACCCCGCACAGAGTAAAAAAAAATTGTGGGGCCTTAATGACCCCGTCTTTTAAGACCGCAGGAGAATTAAACACAGGAGAGAGGAGAATTTTTAATTTACATTTTCTAGCAACACTAATGCCACAAGGATTTTAGTTAATGCATATATTTTTTTTCATTTTTTTTTTTCATTTGTGTTGTTTTGTGATGTTTCAGGAAAAAATGAAGACTAAGGAATTCACATCTTAGTTTGACCTCTAAATTAGCTATTCCCTATGTGTGTAAACTCAGCCTGCAGACCTCTAGCAGTCATAGCTGCAATAGTGCTGCACTGTTGGCTGTGTGCCTAGCTTAGAAAAAAGAAGAAACAGTAATTGGTGGACAGGGAGAGAAAGGCCAACATACTACTACAGGCCTGTCTTAAATGTGTGTCTGTGTGATTTTACTCGTATTTTAGTATTTTATAACATGCCTACCACAACTTAGGTATGCATCAACACTTTGAGATTGCATTTTTACTTCTCCCTATTGTTAATATATTCAGGCAGCCTTCCAAAACTCCATTTGTGTCAAACGTGTTTGCCAAATGGTGTGTTTGTTATTGTCAATTCTACCTTCCAGATCTAATCTTTGAAAATCTGCAAATATAATGAAAAGGGGAGAAATAAAATTGGATTCAACAAAAAGAAAAGCAAATGAGACAAACAGAAACTGGCAAGTTAGAGGTTTGTTCAGGGTGAACCTGCTCAGCAACACAAACAGAAACAGAACCCTATGAAAAAACAAAAGCTTTTGTGCTGCTTTTGATAACGCAGTCCATCCCTTATGTCCTATCTAAACCTGTCTAGGAGAGCGCACTTGTGTAGCACCTACTACAGTCGATAGAGGCTGTCAGGGAATGGATGTGCCACCTGACAGAGTTTAGAGTGGCTGCCTGGACATCTGGAGGGTTCTGACATGATCACAGTCTTCTTTAGGTCCAGATGTAACAAAAAGACGGATTTACTCACAGTTACTTTCTGTAATTGGAACCTTGTTTCAGCTGCTGTGGAGGAGTAAGAGGGGAGAAAGAGAAGATATAGAGGTGAATTGTGTCTTTCAGCCCAGGGTTCCTACAATATGTTGTCTAGACATTGTAATCCTCAAGAGAGAGGAGTTAGAAGGCTGCAGGTGCCACAAGGGAGAAGTAAATGAGAATGGAAGGTCACAATAGAAAATACCTGTCTCCCTCTTACTCCTCCACTATTAAACATTTTAGATTTTCATAGGAGATTTAGCACCTTGATGATCATATTGCTCCTTATAATTGTCCTTGTTCCCTACAGAAATCAATTATCTTCAGAATGTAGTTTTATAATGTAGTCATGCAAATTGAGTCTCCAACATATATTTTAACTATAACTTATTTTTCTGAAGATGTTAGATGACATTGATTGTGTTTCTCTTTCACATATGAGAAATCATAACCTCTGATCAAATAACAATAAGTGAGAAACTTCCTGCTGATGGATACTTGTCAGTATCTTCTAACAAAAGTCTAGAATTAGATCTTTTTTTTTTTTTTTTTTTACCAAAGTGATGTCAAAATGGTTACAAAATGACAGTTGACACTGTCAACTGTAGTAGATAACTTGTTTTTTTGTATCTGAAAAACATGACTAAAACAACAACAGTTCTAAATGGAGAAGACGTATACATGACCAGCAAATATCAAGGAACTTGTAGCTCCCTCCACATTTACTGGCATCTCTGGTAATCTTGCCCAGAGATTACCAGAGTTTGTTTATAAAAACAAACTCTGACTTGAGCAATATGAAATATTAGTTTCCTGTTTATTTGGTTATTTTTCAGTTCATCTCAATGCAAATACCTGATGCTGAACAGGCCAAAACTGACATTCACCTTGCCTTAAAGAAGGAAAAAGAAAGAAAAACGTGATGCTGCCAACACCTTCTTTCACTTTGTGTAAGGTGTTTTATTGATATGTGGTGCTGTTTTTGTGCCAAATCTTACTACTGTTTGTTTGTTTGTTTGTTTTCTGACTCTGTTAGGTATCCTGAGCGATCTGTGATGTTGTGGACCGTTTTCTCTTCTAAAGATCCTTAGAACTTTGTTAAAGTCCAGGGTGCCATAAGCCATCTGAAGTACATTTTATGCAAAAATTTGTCAGACTTTCCCACACAACTGAAAATGAGTCATCTCTGGGACTTTCTCCAGGATAATTATTTGAAGTATATTGCCAAATATCTGAGAAATGGTCCACCAGACACAAACTCCCCCTCCTCTTCGACTCTTTCAGTTCCCAGACATAAATCCTGTTGAAAACTTGTGGACTGAGCTCAAGAACAAAAAGCATGAGAGGACCCAAGAGTCTGGCTGATCTACAGAGACTGTCGAAAGAGAAATCATCTCTGTATGCTCTAATCTTGTCAATTTTTGTCGAAGTGCTAAATAATGTCCCATTGGTAAAAGGTGGCTTGTTAAAAGTTTTAATGGATGCCACTTAGAAAGCTACTATTAATGTAGCATAAAACAAAATATGGTGTAGTGTAGGTTCCCAAATCTTCCACCTCCTCTCAAAAAATATTCAAATTACAAGTGTTATTCATTTTAAGACTTTTTGCACATCAGTTGTTAATTAATGGTGGCTGATGGAAGCCAAGTTTTCTAAGACTTATTTTCCAAACTATTTACAGTAACACTGAGAAAGCACAATCTGTGTACAGTTTACCTCCCAGTGGAGGTTTAGGAATCACAGCCACACCCAAATGGTTAATATTCACAAATACTTGAGAACAACTTTAAAAACACATGTAAGTACATAGGTTAATAGTTTAAAACACCAAATAGACCTTAATATATGTTAATATGAACATTAGAAACTGTATAAGTCCTACCACAGAAGCTACTATCAGCAGTCTTCCTTAATTCTGCTCTTTGGGCCAATCAGAGGCAAGAAGAATAAATAGTACTCCTTGGTTGGCTGCTTTGCAAATGCCATCCAATAGTATATCAAGTAGCAATGCAGCTAGACATGTTTAGCCTCCAAAGTTTTTTTTTTTTTTCCAAATATGCTAGATATGCTTTTCAAAAAAAAAATAAAAAAAAACATTGCAAAAAGGTAGATTTCCCACAAATAATTTTGAGTGATGTTCTACATTAAAAACGCAAATAGGTAAATCTGTGGATACTGGACTGCAAATAGGTGGGGGTTCACTGCATGTATGCCATTTGTTTCTTCATGTAATTCCAACTAGTAACACACAGGACAAATCTTTGAAATGGTTTGACTTATGACTTAAAGTTATAATTCAATGCAGTGTTTACCAGTACTCTCTGATGTTTTGCTTCTCACCGAGTATATTTGGTTGTTGTTTTTGGTGGGGGATGTTTGGGAAGTTTTTTGCAGCAATTTAAGCTGCATCCAAACCAAACAAAATATGTGCCATTTTTTTATGTTACAACTGTCATTGCCTTGATGGTATTCATATGAAACTCTTTTAAATCATTCCCTCCACAGTGAAGTTTGACGACTGCATGGGGAATGAAGCCGTGGTTTTCCAGAGCACCGACCCGGTCTTCAACGTCCGGACAGATGGATCCATCTTTGCCAAGGGACAGGGAGCCGGCTTGGATGAGACAGTTCAGTTTAAAGTGACAGCGCGTGGCCCTCACACAAATGTCTGGGAGACTGTGGTTCAACTGACCCTGATTGACCTGTCGTCATCAGGGCAAAATGAAAATGAGGTGAGTTACACACAGAAATATCACGCTTCAAGTTTCAATTATCATCTCAAAGGTCCCTTTTTCTATCACATTTCCTCCAGTGGTCTGGTGATACTAACAGCCCAGAATCAGGTCAAAACTCCTTGGGGATTTGAGAACTGGAGAGAGAGTGGGTGAGAGTAGCAGCAATGGCAGACGGTTAAAAGTGATAAAATCGCACTGCCACATGGGGGAGAGAATGTTTCCCTTAGCCATAAGCTGTTATTGGAAAACATCCGGCGCCTGTGCACCCCAGGGGTTCTTGGCTCTTTCGTTTCTATTTAAAAGCTGTCAGAGGTCAGGCGAAGACTGAGCAGTCTGAGCTAAGCTGTCCCCATGAATACAGAAGCACACGGCCAAATCAGATAGTCGATACCAACACGAGCCTTAATCAGATTAAAGCAATGAAAACACAAATAATTAAGAGCCAGTGTTCACTTACTTGGTGCAACATCTTCCCAGGATCAATAGGTTTTTCACCAGATCAAGTCTAAATGAGATGGAAATGCAATATAAGTTATAATTATATAATACCTAAACCTCTCACACAGTTTCCTATCTTGCTGTTTATGTCACATAAAAAACATTTTTTTTTTTTTACAAACAACATAGGATATTTATAGAATAATATAGGATATAGAAAGACTTAAAACTGCAGTAAATTGTTTATAAAACTTATCATGTTCCTAGTAGTTGGAATAGTAATACCAGCTTGTGAAATTGGTAGGAGTATTCCACATGTAGCTAGAACTCCAAGTTGATCTGTGTTCATCAGAAAAATGTATTAACAAATAATTTGTCCTTTTAAAAAGTAATTTTCTAATACCACAAGTCTTAAGGGATAATTGACAGATTTTTAAATCACATAACAAAGTTTGCTTTTAACAAAGTAACTGTCTGGGACTTTCATAAGACATAAGTTTTTCAGCGGCATTGAGATTCCCAACGTGTGTATTTAAATCGTTTAAAAAGTAGAACTCATAGAAGGCACAGTTTTGTATGCGTTTCCTTGAAAGTTGTGAGAAAATTGAATAGGTGACTCAAAATCAGCCCTTGAATCAATGAGACAAATAGAGAGTGTAACCTCAACCAGCAAACTATTTATTATTGTAAGTATAAATATGCTTTTCATGGGCTGAATAGCCTGGCTTTTATCTACATAATTTTGTAATTCAGGCAATTCAAATGATTCACCGCATGGTATGAGCCTTAGTGTTAAAGCACGGAGTATTAAAGGTCAAATGAGAGGCTATTTTGCTTTATTTCCCAGCGAGTCCATGAATAGCACATGAATAGACAGACGAATGACGGAGGAGCAAGAACGTGTGGTCAGCAGTCACAGGTATGCTACAAGTTGTAAGCGTCATGTATTCAGGAGGAGAACGCAGGGCACTGAAACAAAACGTGATGTTTCATTATGAAAATGCCGCTTTGTGGTGCGCTCTGTTGAATAATAACTTCCAGATGTCTCGGTAGCCAGGGGCTGGCTGATATCAAAGCATGCAGGGTTTTGGGGAGGCAGTGCTGTGGAGGGGAAGAGCTGGGACCATCGCCAGCTGGCTAAGGCTGACGGCACCAGGGCTGTGGGTCCGCATCCATTTCACACTCGCTGATTCCTGTTCACATAGCATTGGTGTGCCTAAGCGAGTGTGTGTTCGGTATGTATGTGAGGATGTTATTTTATTGTGGGAGATTATGCTGGATCAAGTACGAATTATGCTAATTTTGCATTTAATTTTTAATGCCGTGTATGTTCTGTGTGTGTTTGTCCTTTTGTTTTGGGCATAAAATGTCTTATATTTGCGAGCCTATGGGTTTGAGCTTTGCAAGGCTCCATGCCAAAGCATATGCTCTCTATCTGTGCTGGATTAAATGCAAATAACACAACCTTTAAATCACTAAATCCAGAAAGCTGTTGTTAGAAATTCTGATCTAAATCCAGCCTATCTGTGCTGTTTTGTCAACCATCTCTGATAATGGTTTCAGTAAGTGCACAAACACCGTTCCGTAACTTGTTCCCCCATCCCCACCCCCCTTTGGTTGCAACACGCTTCAGCACTTTTCATTTTTCTTTCTGCCAAAGTGTGAATAAGACTCTGAGGAGCAAGGTTTCATTAAACTTGCTCCATGATAGGGGGGGGGGGAAAGCTCACTTAAGGTTTTTTTGTAATGGTGATGGCACTGCCCTTTTTCCTGGCTTTGTCTCCTTTCCTCTGTCTTTTTTTCTTCAGTTTCCCCCGGGAGCTCACTAGTACCTGTTAGCATGTGCAGATAAAAAGCTCTGGTGTTTCACTTATTTAGTGCAAGGGAATGGGTGAAGATGAGGGGTGTGGGAGTAGGTGGGTGGGTGGGTGGGTGGATTATCTCACATCTGCTTCTGACAACTCTCACTCTCATTCATTTCAGTTTAACCTTAACGTGTGTTTCACTACTTTGCGGGGAATGGAGGCATGAGCTGCAGTCAACCCCACTAAGCTTTTATCTGTCTTACAAAGAAAAAAAAAGAAAAAAAGAATCTATTTGTCCAGACCTAGATCACATCTATCACATCCCACTTTACTGACAAATCACGTTTGTGCACACAGGCATGCTGTACTGGCAGAGGCCAGTCTGTCGAATGTGGACTGAATGTAAAGGTTCATTTGCATGTTCTAGTGAAGCTGTCACACAGTACAACAAACACTGAATATGGAAACATGTTTGGAAGGCTGGATTGCCTGTTTTGCGAACTGGTAACGTTGTACACAGATAGGAGAAAGTGTCAGCGTTTGTGTGGGTCGATGCATGTCAGCATGTTGCTCAGGAGTGTAATTAAGAGTGTTGTGTTTTTCAAGGACTTTGCCTCCCCTAGTGGCCAAAATAAGAGATAAACCATAGGTATGTGAACCTATTTTGCTTATTTATAATCAAATGTTTCAGACTGTGAAACAGTGTCAATATAGAACAATAATTGAATTTAAAAAGAAAACAGTTTTCAAATAATTTTCAAATGAGGATTTTATTTATGAAAAGAAAAAAGGCATTTAAACCAAGTGGATAAGTAATTGTAAACATAGTAGATACTTGTGTCACATTTGGTAGACAATCATCAGCATCAGTATTTAATCAGAGTAGTAAAAATGTTTTTTTTTTTTTTTTTTTTTTTTTTATAATTTAAAGTTTTTTTTTTTTCAAAAAAAAAAAAAAAAATAATTTCTCTGTTAAGCTACTGCAACAGTACAACACAGTTTTTACATTATATGAGAATATCAGATTTAGAGCACGGATACTTACTTGCCTTGTACACATTGGAACCTGTGACTTTTCAGGATCCATGACTAAAATAGCGAGCACATAAAAACCCTCAGTTTTTAAGCTAACAATCAGCATCAGTGATATTAATGCAGCTGGTTTTTACTACCATTGTGGGACACAGAAATCTGTTCTAATATATTTGACATGGACATTTAAAGAGCAATCATAGTGGATGTTCTTATGAAGATGAATCTAACAAACTCTCTTAACTGAAGTCCAATGCCAACCTAGAGCTCCCTCACCAACCACATTTACTGTAACAATCTTTCCCTTTGCTCTGTCACTTAAAGTGTCATTGGAAAACGCAGAACAAGATGTTTAAAGCCGCACGTTTGGATGATCAAAGCAAACATGACACCTTACCCCAGAATCCCCCCACCATCTACGGCCCACACCATTACCCACCCACACAAACCCATGCATGCATAAACCGTAAGTCAGGTTAGTTGGCACATTTTCTGTAAAACAGCCTTAAAAGCTTTTCTTTTTCTTCTTCTTCGCCTTCTTCTTGATCGTCCATCTAATGAAGTAACCTTGAAAGCATTGTTTCCGCTGGCAGATACAACCCAACCCCCTACGGAGCCTTGACCAGGCAAGAACAAACAGATAGTGAAAGAAAAAAAAACAAACAACTTTTTTATAGACTGCATGGTACAGGACCTTCAACTTTCAATATGTGCCAGGAGCCATTGCTGCCTTACACTGTGGTCTGCTCCTGTGGTGTATTTTCTCAGTGTTTTCAAATGTCAGCTGTTGTGGTGGATCTGTAAGTCGATACATTCTAAATGAAATGTAGAATATCTACTAACCACACCAATCTTAACATATGCTACAGTGTTACACATAGTGTTATGATATATAAATATATATTAAAATAATCTATTTTCTTTATGCCAAACTTCACACAATTTCTTTTGTACATTGGTCCAAACACCATCCTGTCCACACAAACATTCACACACTCAGAAATTCCACCTCAACAGTTCCATGGGCTTTAATAAAACATTCCTTGAGGGTGGTTTCCAGTCACTGTTTTTTTTTTGTTTTTTTTTTTCAAACCCAAATACTTGCTACCATGACTCCCCAATTGTTTTATAATGTTCTGTATTTTATTATTATTATTATTATTGTTTAGATTATATTTCACTTCTGGATTTGTGATTTTATGCTGACTGGGAGTAGATTCAAGCAAAGAATTAGTGAAGACTACACAGTTCTACACCTTGCAGACATAAAACTTGAAACTTTGCTGGACATCAACATTTTTAGTTGTTTGCATTCGGTGCTTTGCATAGTACAGGAATTCGCAAATAAAGCTCTCTTTCTCGACTCCGCATTTCTTTATTCACGCTTTAGGAGTCTAATGGATGACATCTTTATTCCTTATTATGTGCCTGTTGAAAGTATTTTCACGTACGGACACTAAATCTAGGTAGCATTAGCTTTATTGCGTAATATGTGATGTACATTGTTCTGACACAAGATTGAGTTAATGCTCATAAAGAGGTTGAAAATGGGCTCCCTTCTTGCTCTGTTTCTGATCATCTCTCAAAAAGACAGTTTTGTGGTGGACCTGAACATATGTGAGAACAGGAGCACAATAAATGATTGAAGTGTATATCTGTGACTCAGCTGACTGTCTGCTAAAAGAGGCTTTAAATCCAACATCAGACATGCTCTCTGTTAATAGGCTTTTTATATCCAACATAAATGACAAAGCCTGAAGTTTATGGTTGTTCACACCCATATATACAGACATAAGTAATGCCAGCTCTGTTCTGCCCTGCTGGTGCTTTCTTTCCTGTCACATTTCTGTCGGCACTTAAAAGTTTAGATTTATTTTTCTAATTCTCAGAATACATTGAGGACACAACTTCCATGTTCAGAGTATTTTAGCCTTTGAGCAATTAGTTTAAAGAACATGCTTGTTATACATTGTGAACTTCAGCTCCATAGCAACACCATGTGTAGGTGATGAAATGACACTGAGTAGTTCACAATTATGGCCTTATGCAGGAGGTATAGAGAGCTATTGAAATATCATATTATTTTTATTCCCATTTCAAAGACTTCTCAGAACAGCAAGGCTATTGTAAGAGGTTGGACTGCACTTTTTAAACATGAAAGAGCAGCTTATCGAGAGTTTACGCTCAGATCAATCTTTGTTTGCATTACAGAGATTCTGTGTTATTACATGTTAATGTTTTTTTTTTCTATTTTTCCTACTATTCACACAAGGGTTGAACTACTAATACAACTTCACTTTGCTACTACATTATTTTACATTTCCTTCTTCCATCACTAATTATTTCCTGAGGAAAAAAAATTGCATAGACATAATATGCTGTGTGATGTTACAGCCTAGTAATGATATTATAAATATTGAGGTAATATTTTGTATTTTGTGAGAAAAAATATAGAAATTGGTTTGTATTGGCACTGCTGTAAAAACAGCTCTGTTCCTCCATGGTTCCATTTTTGTGAAATCTGGGGCGAATCATCAGTTTGGTGGCCCATATTAACCCCTGGCAGTCAAAACAGCTTGACATCCCACAATCAGCCAGGGGCTGTTTGTGGCTCACAGCTGTGTGTGTGTGTGTGTGTGTGTGTGTGTGTGTTTGCTGTAATAACAGAGAACGAGCCCTCACTAGGTCTAATGAGTAAAGCTTTATGAAAACGTTACTCTCTCTGTCATCTGAATTTTTGCCTTGAGACTGAAACAACTTTAGCATATTATTGGTTGCTGTTGTAATCATCAGCACATACAAGCTTATGATTAAAGTCTTGCCTTGTCTTTTCTTAAAGGTCACAGAGGAAGCAGGGAACATCAGTGAGCAAAACAAGAAGAAGGACGCGTCGCAGGCACCAACTCCTGTCATCATGTTCCCAGGGTCCCGCGTCAACAGCACCGGGGGTCTCCGAAGGCAGAAGAGAGACTGGGTGATCCCACCAATCAACGTGGCGGAAAATTCTCGTGGACCATTCCCTCAGATGCTTGTCAGTGTAAGTGACAGGTTTGATTGGCTGCAGCGGTGATTTGCTCAGAATTTACAGCTGGGATTTCTCGAGGGCGCTTCACAGCTACCACTGATTGGGGACGTGCGTAATGAAGGGTGATAAAGCACAGAAATGCATTAGCATAACTAGTTTGCTCTCCACATCCTTGAAGATGATTGTGTTGTGGTCCCCTGATGTAATTAGAGCTACAGTATCTTAAGGTATTTAAAAAGCCCTGGCTGACCCTGAGAAGTTTTCCCTTCAGACACACAGTGCTCCTAAGCAGTTAAACCCTCTCACAAAAAGAGGCCCATTGGGTTTACAGATAGCCAAATATTATTAATTTCCATTTTGCATTATCGAAGTGCCTTATTGTTCAATTTCATTTTTTGATGTTCAGTTGTTTTTTTTGTTGTTTTTTTTTTTATGAATGCTGTCTAAAAGCACAGAATAACTGTGCTGATTTTTTTTTCTCTTGTTTGCAGACACAACTAAATATTCATTGTTCCCGTGAAACAATGATTTGCAGTTTAAATCTAAAGTTATAACATAAAAAGGGACTAATTTGACTCTATAAGTAAATTACACGTATACACATCGAGATGCAACACCAACAACTGAGAGTAATTTTATTCCTTGAAAAAAATACGGAGTTCTAATAAGGCTGTAATTTGAAAACAGCATGCAGGATGCTGGATATCAAGCGCATACATCTGTCGAAGGACAAAAATCATGAATAAATGTATGTTTGTGCAAATGTTTCGTTGCACAAAGGCTTGACTCACAGAGAGCCTAAAATTCACAACCAAAGAATGACAGCTCTGTCTCTCTCATCGCCGAGCTGTAAATGTAAAGCTTGTGGCACTCTCTACAATTTATACAGAAGTGTTCCAAGGGACTGTTGCCTCATTCCCGGGTCTGTCTTTCCATCTTTTTTTTTTTTATCTGGAATATCTAGCCATCAGCTTTTCCCTGTTGTTTACAAAACTCCCTGGGCTTATCTCTGCTGGGTTTAAATTGTGCAAAGGAAGCATTTTTTTGTTTGTTTGTTTCACTTCTTTGTTTTTCATCCAGGTTTTATCCTTTTCCCAGAGAAAATAAAAGCTAGAGCTGCTTGAAGAGAATTTTTTTTTATCTACCTTTTTTTTCCCCCTATTGAGATATAAAACATTGAGTATAAAGGGAAGTTTTTGAATTGGACTGCTTCTACAGCTGGAGTCTGTCCCATCAGCCTGGTACTGTCTCTCTCGCATCTCCGTCTGAACTTTCTAAACCCTTTAACAGTAATAAACTAATAGGATAGCTGTGCTGCTTCTTAGAACTGGTCAGAACCAAAGTAACAGAGGTGATAGTGCAGAAAGAAAGAGCAAGGGCATCAGAGGAACATTTGGAAGTACAGTGCGCAGCCAAACACAATCCATTTTGTGCAGTAAATAGGTCCGTCAGGGGCTAGTGGATTGCTAAGAGTTGAGCGTTCGGAGCAGAAGAGAAGTGATGCGTGCTGATGCCTTTGTTCAGCTCTGAGGCTCTCATCTTTCCCTTTAATGATGACTGGAGGGCAGGTGTGGGCATACAGAGAGCTACAGATCTGATCAAACAGATGCAGGTCTGTGGCATGGGGATGATTTTGCCAACTTTTTTGTTTTTGTATTTAGTCTGGTTTAGTAACTTTTATTGTCCTCTTAGGGTTACGTACAGGCTTTCACTACCCCTCAGTCAAAACTGAACATGAAACAATGCCTTCTATGCTTATACTTAGCTGCCAAGTGGGTATTAAACATTTAAAATCATTTGCATTAATTGATTATATAACATGATTTTTTTTTTTTTTTTTGCCCAGTCAGAATTGGGGCATTGTTTGACAGCTGCCTTCCCACAAATTCTGGCAAGGACATAAATGCACAAAAGACGTGTTAATGGTTTATTTAAAGCAACACCAGAGACCGCAGCAGGTTTTGGGCTTTTCCTGAGGATGTTCCATGTAACAACAGCACTGTAAAAAATAAAATAAAATCTCCATCTGAGCCCATGACTCTGCTGTGCCAGTAGACACCCACCAAAGACGCCACCAGAGGCCACAAAACTATGTCAGGCAAAAGATAGGGTACCAAGTAGAAGACTCATTTTTTATGACATTGATGGTAGCTATTACACACAAAAATGATTTTAAAAAATCAGGTATAATAGTAAGTTGTGCTGATCTTCTTGTGAAACAGCCTGCTTTGTCTAATTTACATTTTTAACATTAAACTCAACATGGGACCCAGTTGAATTCTGAGCATTTTCAATTTTGTGGACTTTAAATTTGAAATGTCTATAGATTTCACCATTTTATATAAAATGACTCTGACATATAGTCAATAAAAGATATGTTTTAAAAAATAATTAAAACCGAGGAGAAATATTCTGATTGCATAGAAGCAAAATAAAATAGAACCTCTTCAGAACATCAGTGTGCAGGATTTAGATCAGGTTGAAAAAAAGGCTTCTTTACTTGGAGGAGTTGCTATGTTACCTGTTGTTGGATAACAACAGAGTAAGACAAACTTTAAAATATTATTTATTAGCAATCAAGCAGGTTCTTTTTGTTTCGCCTGTGACCACAGACAATGTGTGAGCCCTCAGTTCCAACTTAATGATTCTTATGATCCAGCTAAACTTAAATTATGAACTGTAAACTAAAGTCTGTCTGGTCAAACCAACACAATCTCAAAATGCGATAAAACAAATTAAATAGTCAACACTATGAGTTAAAAAAAATATTGTGTCGTGTATTTTCTGTATTGCTGAGTGCTTTGCTTCTTCTATTGAAATTAAAATGTTTTATCTGGAAATGTTTAACTGTTCAAAACTCTTCAGTTTTATCTGTTGTAATTGTTTTTTTTTTTTTTCTGAACCAAATCAAAGTGATCGTGACTTGATCCTGACTGCATTTAGATTCACCATAAAATTATGTAAATTGTAATTCTGAAAATAAATTAGCTTAATGGGAACATGCCAATTTTGAAAAAAAAAAAAAAAATATATATATATATATATATATATATATATATATATATATATATAACAAAAACTTTCTATCAAAAAAAATAAAAATATATATATATATTTTTTTTTTTGATAGAAAGTTTTTGTTTGTTGCGCTAGGATGACATGGTTTGTCAGTCGTATCAAAATTTGTACATTTTGGAAAAGAAAAAAAAAATGTGTGGAAAACCTGAGATAAAATAATCTTAATAAAATTTCTTCAAACTACCGTCAGTACTAACTGGCAGCTTCACTGCTCTGTTTCCTAATATATCACACATTTGATGTTCCCAAAGAAGACAAAATGTTTACTTTTTTAAGATTACTATGCCTTCATAATCATGTACAGGATAGAAAGGTCTCAGAGAAGGGTTTTTAGTCTGTATTTCTCTAAACGTGGCATCACTCGGTGTCCTGCTTCCCCTAATGGTCTGTGAAGTCAGTGCCCTACCTAATGAGCTGTTCTGTCATCCAACACAAACCTGAGTGACGTACAGACAGGGACCTTCATCATCGGCATTTCACCACTTTTCTCGCTGCCCTCACCAAGTTGCCATCAGCCGGACAGGTGAGGTGACAGCAGCCCCCTCCTGCATCTCTGTGGGTCTGCAGCACTGTCACTTTGATCAGAGTTACACAATGTCGGGCAGGTGTCAGGATAGAGGCCTCTCTGACTGGCCTGTGAGCTAGCAGCTCAACATGGCTTGAGGGAAATGCTGTCCAGGCAGTTCTGTGCTCCTACCGGCCTCTAAAACAGGAACTGCACATCACAGCTCCAAGAGATATTTCTGATTGCGTTTTATTAAGAGTGGGGCTGGGGGCAAAAAAAAAAAAAAAAAATGGCTCAACAGCCTCACGCTTTCCCACTTTAAATCAAGATGTTTTGTTCATATTGTAACAAGGAGGCTCGATGTTGGACCCAATCAGCCTCAAGTATGCCAGACGTGAGGTCAAATACAGCCGTTCTGTCTTTGCAAATAAGAGACAGCAGTACTTATGTTCCAGTGTTTTGTTTTGGTTTTTTTAGCTAATGGGTAAGTAAGCTGTGTAACATCTCACAGAAGAAACAAGAGAAAGAGATCCAGAAAGGTAACCGTCAAATAAAGATTGAGCAGTAGAATTTTTCTAAAGTAAACAGCTGTTCTTTGTTTTTCACTTTCTTCTGTAGCCAAACACCCATCAATAACATGTAAGGGATATTGATTTTTCTGTTTTCTTTTCTTTTTTTCTTTTTTTTTTTCCAGAGGCTTTTTGAAAGCCTAAATTGATCCACACACGTCTCCTACGGCACCAAGGCATTGATTTCTTTTGCAAAAGTAAATAAAGACTCACTGTAACCACCACCAGTTTACCCACGCCATAACTTCCCCCATTTAAACAGTCCTAAAAAAAGAAACAAAAAAAAAAAAACAGAGAAATGAAA